AAATTATGCAAGCCACATTCAACGTATTTTGCCACTCTATACGACGGAACACATCCTAGAAAATGGATTCATATTGCGTTGAAATCATCGACAACTTCAACAGAAGAAAAAATCATTTTTTTGGAGATATGTTCAGAAGTTGGTGAAATCTTCTGTTTAGTTTGGTACTGCCATAACCATATGCTATGCTAAACACATATCCTTCATTTGAATCCATTGCTCAGCTCAATATCTGGAATTGATTTCGTGATTTTTCAGGTAAGGCAATCCAAGGGGGCACAAGAAGACCCTTCTGGATTTTTCTGACCAATTTATACAAAAACGATGCTACAATGGTTTCAAGATATTCCTGAGCTGACATGAAGTCAAAAAACCTATTTATCACAAGATTTTTCATCACGTAATCGAAAATCAATCGAAAAAGTCGATTTCTTTAAATCAACACTCATTTACGCAATTAATATACCACTGGAACATCCAATATAATGCCTCCTGTCGAACCTTTTAACGGTGTGTAGCATCGTTTTTGTTTGAATTGGCCAGAAAAATCCAGAAAGGCCTCCTTGCACCCCCTTGGATTGCCTTACCTGAAAAATCACGAAATCAATTCGAGATATTGAGCTGAGCAATCGATCCAAATGAAGGTTTTGTTTTTAGCAAAGCATATAGTTATGGCAGCACCAAACGGAACAGACGATTTCATCAAATTCTGAACATTTCTCCAAAAAAATTTTTTTTTCTTCTGTTGAAGTTGTCGATGATTTCAACGCAATATATGAATCCATTTTCTAGGATGTGCTCCGTCGTATATAGAGTGGCAAAATACGTTGAATGTGGCTTACATAATTTTAAAATCGAAAATGATGCGATAAAAACCTAAAAATGAAAAATTATCGAAAATTACAAAACCGTTTCGAGATATTGGCTTGAACGTTCGAAAAAAATGATTAGTAGAAAAATAAAAGACATTCCCTGGAATACGGAAGCGTTTGAATTCTCTCATTTTTGTAATACTTTTTTCGAACACTTGGTGTATAATCTTGAACAGAAAGATCGCATCGTCCAAGCACTGCATTCCGATTGAAAATCCATTCATTTTTTAAAAAGATATGACAGTTTGAGAATTGTCAAATATCTCAGTGGTCCACTCGTTTCTTTGAGCACTTTATTTTACGGATATCCTTGCGAAATATTATGCTCTTGACCTGGTTGGATGTTTCGTGAAAAGGACATAACTCGTACCCTTGCACTACTTTTTAGGGGGATTTTATGTGGGGAATAGTGAAATACATATTTTCTCAATTTACAGTGACCTACCTATGTGAAAATCGATTTCAAAATACGGTGAGATCCACTCAATGGGCACATTTACGTTTATTCAACGTTGAATGGGTTTGATTATGAAAATCACGTTGTATGAATACGTTTTGATAACATATATCTAACGATGCGTTGATGGATTCGTTAAGAATGCGCCTTTTTCAACTTGGATATTACTACTTGAATAAAATTAATTGTACGTTACTTTTCCACCGATTTTGAACGGTTGGTTTTGACTTGAACTCCTTTGGAAAGGAGCAATTGAAAAAAAAAAGATCGAGTGTGAATATGAGAGAAACTGGATAATAAAAATATCTACCAGCTCTGATTGTAATAACCTTTATAAGGAAATCTCCTATTCCTGATCATTTTATTATTACAACAGTATTCTCTCCATTCTGTAATTATAAAAATCGATTTCTTAAATCATTTGTAATACCCTTGAATGGACATTTGCTACCATCATAACGCAGGTGTGTTATGACATTATGAGAATTTTATAAATTCCAGTCTATTCAGATTTTTTATTGACATAGCTCGTTTTGTGAATTATGCTCATTGGCGAATTCAGATAATGTTTGTCCCAATAATCATAGCTGTCTGGGTTTCTAGCATTGTACGTTGACGAATAACTCTAGCAATTCACATGTATGACGGTTATTAGGAAATCATTCGACAATCGTAATTCGGCTCAGTTCGCTCTAGTGTTTCATTAGTATTGTGGCTGACAAAGATACAGATCGCGTTCATTTCTCTGTTCTCGGTCATGGGTGCCCGTGTTCAATTATTGTTCAATGGTTTCGATCGTCCGAATCGAAAGAGCCGTGTCTTGTTGGTGAATGTCTGTGATGTAGCAAAGTTTTGTTTTAGTGCTGGCTGTGAACCGACCTGTGGAATACACCGTGCATTGCATTATTGCAATGAAAAAAGTATTCTCCATACCCACTTTTCAAGGCCTAAAATTGGTTTATTTCAAAAACAAAATGATCGATGAGATTCTGAATCAAAATATCTGGGTTTCTGTGAGGGAAGTTTTATTGACAATTCTCATCATAACTCCGAAGGAAGGGTAAATATAAGTATTCAACTTCTCATTTCTTAATAAATTCGTCAGTAATGCATATAGATGATATTTCTCCGAACAAATCAATGAGTAATGTCAAAAAACTTCCACAGATACCCCAATATTTCCATTCAGAGACTAAACGTATTTTTTTGTTTTTTTGAAAACAATAACTTTGGATCATGAAAAGTGATAGTGTGGATAGGATATTTATTTTCATTGCAGTAATTCAAAGCACGGTTTCATATTGCATACCATCGAATAATGTTGATAACCTTATTACCACTGTTTGATGAATATACTAGAGTAGAAAAATATTGGGATAACTGTTGAAAATGAGCTACATTACAATAGCATGTCGAATGTCAGGTTTCATGCAGATATCAGATAACTATAATAAAATGAGACGAATTACTGCGTTACCTCAAGATGGTTGTGCCAGTAATAAAAACATGCTGTTTTATGTCGATAGTCTAATAACCACTGTAGAGTGGAGAGTTACTGCAACATTTTATGGGACTAATTCCTATTCGACATTCTGTGTTATCATAGAAACTAGAACAAGTAGTAGTTATTCAGCAGCGGTGTTTTTATACAAGTTTGCAAATTGAATAAGCTGCCATAACTACAAGTCACCTGAAAATTCACTTCATCTATGGTAGCACATGAACACATCTGTCCCCTATTTATTGCAGATATCGTAATAACGGTTATCAGATTTCCAATTATGATAACTCAAGTTTTCTCTCAGTGTACTCAATGCTATTACATACTTTTACGGTAGGGAGAAAAGAGAAAAATCTCATAAAAAGTCCTCAAAAAATCGAAACCAATCAAATACTGTCTGTAGGTTAATCGAGGAGATGGTGCATTTGCATTCATTATTCTAGATTTTTTGGGATTGTCTCTCCTCGTTTCTATAAAATAAAAATATGAATATCATTTCAATATACGTGTAGTAAGGACAGATGAGATGATTTGCCCCAGAATGTTCCTATCAGAGAGCCTAAAAAAAAATCACTAGCTTGTCAGTGACAATTTGTATTGAAAAAGTTTGGAGAAGAGAAATAAAAGTATATAGAAAAAATTTCACATTTTCACTTAGCATTGGACGTTTCGGGAACGAATCTGCTCCCGTTTTCAACATAAAAAATGGATATTTGAATAGCAATTTCTTTTTGTCTGGACACTTTTCAGTTCCTCACCATGATTTTTTCACAGAAAATAAGTTTGAATGCTAGAAAAAGAAGGGCTAGTTGATTCATTTTCCTAAATTGGGAAGTAATGAGAACATATCAGATGATTTGCACCAAAATGTCTTCGCGTTCACAAACTCCACAATTAGAGAGCTTGAAAAAAAATTAGGTAGTCAGCATGGTGGAAATACAATGGTGTGTTACGACGCATCTTCGTATAAGTAACTGCGAATATAGTAATTTGTTTAACTAGGCAGCAAAGTAGTAGATTGACTGCCGAGGCTGCATTCATAGCCGAGCGTAGCGAGGCTAGGAATCCAGCTAAGGCAGTCAATCTACTTTGCTGCCGAGTTGAACATATAATTTTTTCTCCGATTGTTCATAATGATATAGGAGGATATTGTAATTGCGAATTATTACAATTCCCACAATCTCTTTATTTTTCCTGTAGTGTTCAATTGAAATGAAAGTTGATAGAAATCGCAGTTGTCCATGATAATTATAGTTTGACAATTCATGAAAATTCTGACATTTGTGCGGAAAAATATCGGTATATTCAAATTATTATATAATGGACAGTGATAGCGACCTAGAAGTATTTTAACCTCCAGAAATAAGGGAGGGGGCAAAAAATATAGAGTTGAATTTGTTGCCGGAGAAGTCTCGAATGAAATATGAAGGAAATTATTAACGATTTATGGATTATTGATTTTGCTGATACATATCAATCAGCAAAGTACCTACTTTGCTGCCTAGGCAGGAAAAGTAATACTTTGCTGATTGATATGTGTCAGCAAAATTAAAATTTGCTGCCCATCGGAGAAGAAACTATTACACGCAGTTATCAATTTGCCCGTGTCGCCGTGATACCTTCAATATTGGTGTGAGTATAGACTCGCAATGACGTCATGTGCAGAAAAGACGAATTCAAGATACGTGAGAAGCACACCACATTGAATTTCCACCATGGTAGTCAGTAACACCTTTTTTGAAACATGTTTGAAGAAGAGCAATATCGACAAAAAATATCATACTTTTCCAGGAACAATTAGCACGCGAACGTTGCGTTTCCGGAAGGGTACAGATCCAAGTATGGTACCACGACGAAAGAAAAGAACTAGTGGTAGCAGTACTAGCAGGAGACGATTTGGCACCCAGGGACGAAAGCCTAGGGTTCGGACCTCTACCTGAAGCCTATGCCAGGCTATGTTTACTGCCTCTCACGTAAGTCCATCACAAACAATAACCCATAATTATTCAACGTCCAATTTTGAAGAAAGAAAGAAGGAAACAAATTCTACATACGCTAACCATAGATATATTCTTCGTTTCTTCCATTTAAGAACTGAAGAACACTGCGTGCAAACAGAGGTAGCCCCTGCTAGTCAAAACCCCATTTGGAACGCTAATCTCAGCTTTCTAGGGGTACCAGGAGAAGAACTAATGGAACGTGTTCTGGAGATCACCCTGTGGGACCTGATACCGCATAACGAACATGCTTTCCTAGGAGAATGCTCAGTAAGTCATTGAAGCTATTCGTCGCCGTGAGCTATCTTATCGTGAATTCATCTTGAGAACCTTACAAAGATACAATATTGTCACGATATTATAGATGGTTAGTCCATCCATATCGATTTATAAGGGGTAATGCTTGACTTAATAGTTCGCGAGAGGTAATATTTGAATAGGCACTAATAGTTTAAGGGTAACTGAAAGTACGAGACTATATTCAAACATAACAATATTTATTGGAGCATGAAACATTATGGGTAATAATGACAAATATGAATAAACAACAATGAATATAAAGACCTACTAACAACTTATATTATAATTACCATTACGACGAGTTCTTGTCAAGTCAAGAGTAGCCCCAGACCAGGCTAACTTCGGAACCCTCACATCCAATATTTATATACATCATTTTAATAGATTCGCACGTTTCTCATGAGAGTTCCTTGGTCAGTATTCATAGTTCAATGTCAACGGATGATTTGATTGAGTTAATGTTTATGAAACCCGCATGGTTCGAAATTACTAATATTCCGTATGTTCTACTCGTGACAATATTCCGGAATTACACACAATCTCTAACAGCTGACTACGAACGAAACAAGATCTTCAACACTTTTCAGCCCCCAGAATACATTCAGAGTTGATTGAGCCCAGTTCGTGAAGCCAAACATAATTTCACACGAGTAGAACATTCGGTATATCAGCAATTTCGAACCATAAGGGTTTTATACACATCGAACAAAATTTCTTCTGAAATTATTTTAAAATTGTTCTCATCCGTCAACCGGTAGCCCCTCAGAAGTCTTGTGCGAGCAAGGAATGATGGGGGGGGCTTACATTTTAACGTGTGATCCCAAACACTTTCTTTGGCCATCAGAAAAGTGTCTGCAGTCGTTGGATTCGAACTCACGAACATTCAATCCAACGTGAATAGAATACTGAGGCTCCTACTGTGAATACTGACCTAAGAACCCACATAAGAAACGGCAAAGCTTCGGAAACGGCAAAGCTTTGGTTCATTCTCTATGTCCAGATATGGTAGTGCATGGTCTTATCAATCCAGGAAGACCAAGATCGTGACATGTGACATACTTGAACTTCTCAATATCAACAGGTGGATATCCAGAAAGCCTTCCTAGACGACAGAGCAGTCTGGTGCAGGCTGGAAGACCCTCGGCAGCTGCGCGGCAGATCACCGCACACGTCACCGAGAGGTTCCATAGCCGGTACCGGCAAAAGATCAGATTTCGGTAACCAAAGGAGCGTTTCGGACGACGTGGACTCCATTGGAGAGTGTGCCAGTTTGTTGCATCCGGACCACGCCTGGGGATCCAGAAGGGGTTCCTCGCAATCCGAGCAGCTCGAGGTAGAAGTGTACGAGCTCGGGAAAGACTTCTCCAGGTCCCTTCCAGGTACAAACACTCGACTTCAACCTATCGAAATGTGATATGAATACTCCTCGCCAAGCAATATGGCTTCCGTCATCAGAAATCAACTGGTGACCTGCTCGCTTACGTCTCACATATATGGAAGCAATCTATTGAAAAATATGGTGGAACCTTAGCCGTGGCACTTGATATCTCCAAGGCATTCGATCGAGTCTGGCACCACGAACTCCTCGCCAAGCTTCCATCTTATGGATTGCCTCCCCAGCTATGTTCTCTGCTAGCTAGTTTTCTCTCAAACAGGTCTCTCCATGTAGCGGTCGACGGAGTTTCATCTGACTCTCTTATCATAAATGCTGGTGTTCCGCAAGGATCAATTCTAGCACCAACACTATTTCTGCTCCATATCAACGATTCGTTGGAAGCAACTTCATGTCCAGTACACAGCTTCGCGGATAATAGTACCCTCCATACCACCTTCTCTTCCAGGGCTCCAATACCAGCCAGGCAAATCAGAAACGAACGACGGAGAAATGTTGACAACACAAATTTGAATTTGGCAACAATTCTCGAATTGGGATCCAATAACTTGGTAGATTTCAATGCAAACAAAACACAAGCATGCCTTTTCTCTAGAAAAGCCGATCTCACTGTGCCCAACATAAGCTTGTCAGGAGTAACCATAACTTTGAAGACATCCATTTCGATGCTTGGTATTACTATCAGCAATAACCTTTCTTGGGAAAATCACGTGAGATCAATTGCTAAAACTGCATCCCAAAAACTTGGCTTTCTGTTTCGGGCCAGGAGCTATTTCACTTCCAGTCAGCTGCTTATGATCTATAAGGCACAGATCCGACCTGTCCTGGAATACTGTTCTCATATTTGGAGTCCAGCACCCAAACATACCCTGAAACTGTTGGATTCTGTCCAAAAAAAGGGCAATTCGTCTCGTGGGTGATGCTTCCCTCACAAACTCACTCACTTTTCTGGAACACCGTAGAAAAGTTGGCGATCTGGCTCTATTTTATAGATATTCTCATGGACGATGCTCTACTGAAATATCAACAATTGTTCCTCCCTTGGCAGTCCCCGCGAGATTGACCCGTCAAGTTGAGGCTTCGTACCCCTTCGTGATCACTTTGGAGACCTGCAGAACATCTCTTTCCAAAGACTCGTTCATCCAACGAACAGCGAGGCTCTGGAACACATTGCCAAGGGAGGTGTTCCCCGAGGTATATAACCTTCAGAAATTCAAGAAGAACACCAATTCCTACCTTATTTCCCTTGGTTCTCACGATGTTCTCTGAGCATTACAGGATATCCATTTTCGTGGGAACCAGAACATAAAAAAACTTAGAGTAAATGCCTCTGTAACGAAGTCTGTAGTTGGGCGGTGATTGAATGTCAGTGTATTTTCGATATCAGTTTTGTAATCCAGCATGAATACCTAAAAGTCGTGTAATAATTTGTACAACAGGAACACGAAGTTGACAAGCTTTTTCTTATAGGATCAAGAAGGTCTTCATTTCAATCGGCTCAAGAACAGCAAGAGCAGGACAAACCTGCTGTTCCCCCACCACCTTCCTACAGCAGAGACAGAAGAAGGAGCAGCTGTACGAGGATGTTGAGAGATCCGGAAGAAATTCTAAAATCGCTGAAAGCAGTCAAAGGAGAGCTGGGTAGAACGATGAGTTTGAGTGGAGAGAAGAGGCACAGACGTAAGTATAAATGATAGTGAGAAAAGTAGTTTCAATGAGTGCCAATAATCTTCCTAATAAAGGATTTGAGGTATTCTGACACAATATTCCAATAAATCCTGCATGCACATGGAGCAAAATCTTGCCAAAGCTGCGTGTAAAAAATGAAAGAAACACCTGCCCAACAACTATAAATAAATGAAAAATAATTATTTGTGTCAATTTGACAATCTTGTATGAAATTGTCACTGTGGAATTTCTCACCTGTGGATGTATTGTATAAAAAAAAAATGATCCAGAAGTCAACGACAGCAACAATTTACATTTTTTATTATTTCATCCCTGGAATCATCAATAATTATATTCAACAACAATCTACAAATAACATACCAAGAATTCAGGACTCTTCAATTACAAGCAGAATGGGTACATTGACACATGTGTGTGATGGGCAAAAAAACACAAAAAAGGCATGAAAAAAGTTATCAAATATAAAATGGAAACCTGACAAACATCAAAAATTTACTCACCTTTATGAGGATGTTCAGAAAAATGTGTTCGAAAATCGAAGCTGCAACATAATTTAATTGACTAATTTTTCTAGTAGGTTTACTCATAGATTTCTGAGGATACCCCATAATGAAGGACGAAACGTCGATGATGATGAAATATTATTTCTTCCTGGCTCTCCTGACCTTGAAATTATACAGAATAAAATTCTGAAGGTCAACTTTCATACAGTTGTTCGAATATCATTCAGGGGTCAGTCGAGGGGTCAGCAGCAGTAAAACTGGCAATTTTTCAAGTTTAGGATATTTTCATTAGTTCATTCATATCTACAACAAACCTACTTAACCCAGCAATTTTCATAGATTACTTTTGGAAAAAAAAAAATAGATTTTGAGGTCAATATCGAAAAAACTGTCAATTTTAAGAGTTTAGGTCGATCGAATTTTTTCATCAGTTTATTCCTATCTACAACATGCCGAAAATTCAACCATTTTCGGATACTTTTTTTTTTAATTACCAACATACCAAATATTCAGCGATCTTCATCGAGAGCCATATTCCCTATAGTTAAGTGTGGGGTCCTTTCCTTGTTAACCTGAAGAGTATCCGCTGATGATGACTTAACAGTCGAAAGGGCTCTGCCACCAGTAATTAATTTGAATAAATCATCTTTCACGAAATACAACACTTCCCTTCATCGACCAACAAGAAAATGCAAATGAAAAAAAATAATCCAGCATTACCACAACATTTTTCCTTCCAGGGTCTACCAGCGGTGCCTCCAACAGGTCAGACCGCAAAGACAGCGTCCTCGAGGAGCCGCCCAAAGAGACCAGCCCCCCCTCCAGCCCTGAACGCACCTCCCCACCCCAACTGGGCCCCGGGCAAATCAAACCGCGCGGCTTCCGCCTGTCGAGCACCCGCCCCGTCGAGATCAAGCTCGGCCTCTTCATGACCAAGGGCCAATTGGAGGTGGAGGTACTGGGCTAGTTTTATTTAGAGTCACTGGATGGTATTAGTTTGATCAGTTTTATTAATGTGAACCCCTCTTAATCTTTTTTGTTTTCCACTCATCAATAAAAAATTTGCGGAGGTAAATAGTTTTTGGCATTTTCCAATTTTTTTGTTTATATGTTTATCTATTCACAAACAAAAATACGACATTGTATTTACAATTCATTGATGATCTAAACTATTTCTGGAATTTTATCATTCGAAACATAACACCATAGTGTTGATTATGTATTCTAGTTGAAAGGTTGAAAAAATGTAGAGCAGATTTACGGGAAACAAACTTTCGAACCATTAAAGTCCACCTTTTGGAGAAAAACACAAAAATTTAAATATCTCGAAAACTATTAACTTTTGCATAATGCATATTAGGGTTTGATTCACTCCTTATCACCTCACCTATCACATCCGCAGAATAAGGTATCGAATTACCAGTAACCCTGTATAAGTCGGTGATTCAATGTTCAAAAGAACAATTTATCTGCTCTTCACAGACATAAGCACGTCCTCTTAACCTCATTCGAACTAGATACTTATAGCTCTTTGCGATGACTATACAGGGTGTAAATTTGAAAACTTCCAATGCGAATATCTCGCGAAAGAAAAAAGTTAGAAAAACGCCGTTTGGCAAGAATGCTGAAGAGTTAAGGGGAACTAGAACCACCATATTTCGGTCAAGGGATGAGTCACCCCGTCGGCGCGACACACCCCAACTTTGAAATGTCAAATGGCACTACCTTTTTTGTGATGCCTCAAATGAACAGTCTCAGTCAGTAGTATTCACCTGTACAAGACTTTTTTTTCCACCCACTACAGGGTGTACGAAAAATATAAAGTCGAATAAAATGAAATGAATTGTGTTAAAAGGATATTTTACTTGATCAGATGTTCAAATTGCATTCCATTCTGTTGTGAGCAATAGTATAATCGATGTTCAGATGCCATTCTAACATTTTGGAACACATCTCTTGGAATATATCGGCATTCTGCATTTTATTTTATTCGACTTTATGTTTTTCGTTCACCCTGTAGTGGGTGGAAAATAAGTCTTGTACAGGTGAATACTACTGACTGAGACCGTTCATTTGAGGTATCACAAAAGAGGTAGTGCCATTTGACATTTCAAATATGGAGTGTGTCGCGCCGACGGGGTGACTCATCCCTTTACTCTGAAGTATGGTGGTTCTAGTTCCCCCTAACTCTGTAGCATTTGTGCCAAACGGCGTTTTCCTAACTGTTTTATTTAGCGAGATATTCGCATTGAAAGTTTTCAAATTCAGACCCTCGAATTAATGTTTTTCGTACACCCTGTAATGGGTGGAAAAAAGTCTTGTACAGGTGAATACTACTGACTGAGACCGTTCATTTGAGGTATCACAAAAGAGGTAGTGCCATTTGACATTTCAAAGTTGGGGTGTGTTGCGCTGACAGGGTGACTCATCCCTTCACTGAAATATGGTGGTTCTAGTTCCCCTTAACTCTTTAGCATTTTCGCCAAGCGGCGTTTTTCTAACTTTTTTATTTCGCGAGATATTCGCATTGAAAGTTTTGAAATTTACACCCTGTATGTAATTGATATTTCATGTATATTTCACAGGTACGTTGAAATTATAACTAGGGATGATTCTGTTTGAGAGCATGCTTTTGTTGACGAGAAGCGTTTTGAAAATATCAACTAACCTCACGTTACAAAATAACTTGTGATAGATAATTTATTGATGCATTCAAAGCAATCCTGATTAATTAGATATATAAAATATATCAATAATGGCAAAAAACTCAAAAGTTATTTCCACAAATGTTCAAGGACTGTATGAAAAAAATGACTGAGTATTTTGCTACTTTTGTTATTTCATCCCACTTTGAGCATTTTGGCTATTTCAAATTTATAATAAAATAATTCTATGAAGAATATCAATTCTCTGGCAATGATTCCGCGGATTTATCCCCACAATTCGCGATTTCATTCATTCATCCGAGTTCGGTGTTTAGGATTGTTGAAGATTGAATCGCGCGGAGTTTATCTATCGTTATTCGGTCTGAGCTTTTCATACACTCGATGAGTTTTCATCTAGTCCTCTAGTCCACCCTATAGAGCGCGTCAGTCCGTTTGTTCCCTTATTAGTACTAATTGTGAGATATACAGGGTGTTTCATAATTGAATGCTGATCCTAAAGGGCGATGATCCTTGGATGATTTTAAGGAGAGAAGTTCATATCAACATATGTCCTGAATCTCTTAGTTTTTGAGCTACAGGGTGTTGGAATGAGAAGCGTACAGCGTTTTTTTAAACTAAAGATTCAATATCAGGTCTACGAGGACATCACTGGTAAAAGTGAAAGTTTGATTTTCGTTCCAAAACAAAATGTGTTTTCACTTATAGTGGGTGTCTACTGAATTACCAAAAACAATATCCAAGAACTGAAGGAACAAAATTCTTTGGTTTTTATTTTTTTACGCGAAAACGGTACGTTGTATGAAAGTAAATCTAGGAACCAAATTTGCTCCAAAATTAATAAGAATTGAAAAAAAAATCTGGTTCTCAGAAAAATCAGTGGCGTACTATTTTTTTCTTCAAAATTTGTCAGTTCAAACCCCGTACGGACGGCACTGGTGAGAATTTTTAAATATCTTCCACGTAAAAAAATGCTCCTTAATAATGAAAAGGTGTATACAAAATATCATAACAATATCTAAGAGTGATAAGAAATTATGATGAAAAACTAATTTTTTTCTTGAAATTTCATCACCCTGTAGCTCAATAACTAAGAGGTTTAGGACATATGTTGATATGAACTTTTCTCTTTGAAATCATCCAAGGATTATCGCCCTTAAGGATCAGCATTCAATTATGAAACACCCTGTAGATACAAGTGCTGACTAATTCTATACAAAATGAAAAATTCTGGCCATTCCAAGGCAAATAAAGTATTCGATTTGATTCAAGGTCGTTTGCGTGCGCCACATCCCCCCACGAGAAACGCCCCCCGACACCTACGTCAAGTGCTACCTACGAGACGGCGACCGATGGCTGCAGAAGAAGAAAACCCGAGTCGTAAAACACTCCTGCGAGCCTCAATTCAGACAAACCCTCAAGTACCAAGCCTGCGATGTTCTGGGGCGCAGCCTGGTAGTCATGTTGTGGGAGAGACAAGGAGGGTTCGAGCACAATCAGGGGTTGGGAGGGGCTGAAGTAGGGTTGGATTCGATAGAGTTGACGCATTTGTGCACGGGGTGGTACCCCTTGTTTCCGATACATTCGCTGGGGTCGGATTCCAACGATTCGCCTTGACCTGGGACTGACAGCAGCCCGACTGAAAGTCCTGCCGAATGAGGGGTTTGTCTTCTGGGCTTTTTTCATAGGAGCGAGTTGAACAGAAGTTTCGCGAAAGAACAGTTATCTAGTCACAATCGATACTTAGTTATTCCAACAAGTAAAAAAGTTGATACTGAATTTTACTTAATATTCCAGTTTATTTCTCACGTTTCTTCATGAAACGATCTGTCTTTCTCGAAATCTATCAAAAAATCACCAACTCGATTTCTTTTGCTCACTACATGAGGAACTGACTTTTATCAGTAGGAATTTACCTTTCAGGTTATATTTAATTCATTGCTCACGCGAGAACCGATTGTTCTTTTCCATAAACGGAATATTATTAGTCAAAAAAGCAACAGAATCTAAACCCTGAGATGTGCCCGTTTGAAATTGACAGCAGTGAAACAAATGAAAAACGTTCTAACGCCTCTCGAAGCGTTTACTATAATACCGGTTCTAATAACTCAAAATCGTATTTCTGAGTTGTTGGAACCACTTTCTGAATCGCTTTTTGAGCTGTTCGAACCATTTTTGTGGGTCAATCCAGCAATGAGGCATTTGATGGCGGCGTATGATCAATACTATTTATTTATTGAGCAAATGGAGAACAAGAACCCTATCGCAGGCTGCAGAAAAGCCTAGTTCTCTCTACTGTGAAGCCTATGACGTTCTGGGACACAACCTGGTAGTCATGCTGTGAGAGAGACAGAGAGAATTCGATCAATCTGATGCACTTTTGTACAGGGTGGTACCACAGTTTGAAGTATATTCAGTTTTCTATAAACTGCGGTGGTACCCGCTGTTTCCGATACATTCGACAGAAGTTTCGTGAAAAAACAGTTATTTTTGCATAATCTAATCACACTGTCTTAGTTATTTCAGCAAGTTATAAGGTAAAAATTGAATTTCACTAAATATTCCAGTTCATTTCTCAACTTTTATCATGAAACGATCTGTCTTTCTCGAAATCTATGAAAAATCACCAACATGATTTCTTTCGCTCACTGCATGACTTTTATAAGTAGGTATTTACCTTTCAGATTATATTCAATTTATTACTTACCCGAAAACTGATTGTTCTTTTTCATAAACAGAAAATTATTAGTCAGTCAACGACAAAATCTAAACGCTGAAAAGTGCCTGTTCAAAATTACCAGAATTGAAACTTCGAAACAGGATTTGAAGTCACCAACAGAAAAAAAAGATTGAAAATAATGAGTACCTACAATAATTGATTAACCTGAAATTGAATATTTTCGGCCTCAATTCAACACCACCAGTATTTTGTATTTCATATGCATGCAGTTTCAAGTCTCATACATTGGGTAGGTACTGATAACATTATGAAAATCGACTTTAAAATTCGAAAATCTATACATATTTTGCACATATTTTTCTATTTCTCATTTCGGATAAGTGATCTTTTCATAAAAACATTGAATTGCACACTCATATCATATTTATATTTATAATATTTTATACATTTTCTCAAACTGAGAACACATATTTTCTATACAAGCACAAATGACAAGTTGTGATATTTTACTATTCAAATTTCTTCTCAGACAATGAGATTACACCACACCATATCCAAAAACCATAGAAAAAGGTACAAAGCCCATATCATTCATTTTTCGATATCATTCATTTCAAGGACCAATATTTTGTACATTCGCTCAGAAAGGCATTCAATAAGCCAAATTCATTCAAAACGATATCTAGCTAATCACGTGACACAAGATATTGAAAAAAGATCACAAACATGAGGCATGCTGATTAAGATACCTTGTTTTGTTTTCGACTACCTGATTTCCCGTCCTATTTTCTTTTACATTTAGCGATTAACAGTTCCTATTTTAAGCCTCATAATGAAAATGATAAGTGGGAAATATGCGTGAAAATCTTCTCAAGAGGATCATAATCAACAGACCGATGTAAACCTAAACAAAGGAAATTTGACGGTACACAAGGAGATATCAAGTGATCCGTGAATAGCGAGAACGATATCGATTATTGGTAGCCAAGATTCGAGAGAAAACGGCCCATAGGCTATCAAATTAGAATATCTTACCAACCAGGTGAACATATATTTTTAGGAAAAATAAATGTAACATAAGTGTAAAGATAACTAGATGTGAAATATCAAACAAAATCTGTACATAACTCAAAATAGAATATCGAATATTATGAATGAGGAAGAACTTCGGTACAAGCGCGGAGAAAATGTGTGCTTTTCCCTCGGCTTTCCCATTATATTTCCATTAAAATTGGTAAATTTTCTTTAACATGAATTATTGAACGTCAGTAAATTCATCGAGATTGGATACACAATCTAGGATTCTAAAAGATAATCTACGCAAACTTAATTCGATATTAAGGCCCCAAAGCCGAACCTTGTGGTACAATCATACGGTTGAAAGATTCCATATCTACCAAATATCAATAACCAATCATTGCTCTTGCCAAATTTTTATATAAATTTTTGACAATCTTTATCTAGGAATCTTAGTAATTGAAGAATCAAAAGAGAAACTCTATATATACAAATATGAATAAGGAAACATAAATTAAATTTCAGAATGTAGAAGAAACAAAATTTAAAACAAAAATCGCAATTTGCACAGATTATGAAAACTTTTTCAATACCTACTTAAGCTGAATTGCAAAATGTACTGTCTGTAGGTTAATTTTATTTACTTATAGACTATGTTGGACTTTTTTAACCTCAAACTCTGTTGAAAGTTATGTTATCTCCTGTTACATATTCAATGATTTTGTAAAAGGACACCAACAATCTTGAAAAAATTGAAAATATTGGATAATAATATTTATACTGGTATTTCCTTTAAAACACGTGATAAATTCATTTCTATATTAATTATTATTTTTTCAAGTCAAAAGAATATACATTCCATTGTTAATTGCATGAAATAACTCAAAATATGATTTATTTTTTGACTGGATTTATTTCGTCATGTTTTTTAATAATTGTGAACTTGGAAAATATGATATTTTGGTATGGCGACTCATATAGTGCATATATACTGAATGTCTAGCTTTTATTCGAAAAAGAAAATCAATGGCCTAACATTGAAACATGACAATCCTCTTATATAAAATATAAATACTCTATTATATGGACGCTAATTGTCTATAAATGTTACTATATATATTAGTGTTGACATATACTATAATGAAAAACTACAATCCAACTGAACCTTGACACCCTCCAGAGTAAGCAGAATACAAATAAATTCGTTAGGGGGGGAGGTGAATATAGTTTTCTGGAAATTCCCGACATACGTCAACGAAATAATAATAATAATAATTAAGGAGCTTTATTGGATATCCGAAAGGCCTCCAATCGAGGTCCTTCAGCCTATGTTACAGAGTGATTATACATTGAGTTTAAATTCATCATTATTATATGTACGAGATATATGGAATTATCAAATTTTTTAGTGTAAAAAAGAGAGAAAAAAAAGAAGGCAAGTCTATTGTGAGGCAAGAATTTTTAAGAAATTTCAGTCTTCTGATTTGATTAAGCATTCCAATAGTGTGTTTTCCGGAAACTTCCGTCTTGGGTTCACTGTTGGATCTCTCTGTAAACACTGGAATTGGATAATTTGGAGATTGGATCCGTTTTTGGAAAACTTCAAAGTTAGCTTTTTCAGTCTCCCAGAAATTAGTTGTACCCTGATCAGCCGATATAGCCGTTTGATGGATGGTGAAGGGGATTTTGAATGTGCCGGTACGTCAACGATTTAATGTATTTAACTACTTTTTACAAGCAATATCAAGAATATATCCATCCAGGGGTAGCTGAAATCACCCTGTAACCCTATGGCCTGTGACCTCTCATTGAAGAGCTGGTGGAAAGAGGAATATTGCATACTAGTCAAATTTTAGTTTTGCATACGTTTAAAGGTTGCATAAAATTGGAATGTAATTTTGTAAATGTGTGTTGAACAATTGATGGAAATTTTTTGCTACAACTGCAATCTGCTGTCTTTTTATAGAGCAGTAAAAATAAATTTAGTTTTTCTGCAACCGACACAAAAGTCGTCCATTTTGATACCAAAATTTGCTCTTAAATTGACGTTTCTATTACTGACACAAAAATAGGTATGTTGCTAGGCAACATATTTAGTCCCTAGGAGCTAAAGTTGAATTTTAGTTCCTAGGAGCTAAAGTTGAACTTCAGCTAAACGCTCCGCCTCGCAAATGCAAAATTCGCTTGTCAACCAAAGTGTCAATTTTGATCCTAATAAAACAATCTACTATTTTTTGCTGTGTTCACAGTTCGAAACAAACAAAGTGGTGGACATGCCCCATATCACTGTCACTAAAAGTCGAAATTTTTATGAAAATACGTTGAAAATATATTATATAAACTTCGAAATTACATTTCGATTTTAGGCGACCCCCAAACGTACTGCAAACTGAAATATGATCAGTACCCTAGATTCCTCTTTCAATCAGCTTTCCAATGAGGGGTCGCAAGCCATAGGGTTGCATTTGAAAAAAACATGTTGGGGTAGATTCCTGCTACCCCTGAAAGGTTATATTTTCCATATTGCTCGCCAAATGTAGGTAAATACATTTAAACGTTGATGTGTCTCGCGATTTTTCAGAAAAATAATTCACTTCTTCAGTATAGCGAATGTATTCTAGTTAGTCTCCAACCAGGTACATCAATCAACGCTTGAGGTTTGATCGAGATTAGATTCAGTCGAATAATCTTCTCTCTTTTTAGGGAAACTTAGAGATTTGTGGTTTGATTAAATTTGACCAGAAAGAATTGATGAAAAAATCCTGACGCACTAGATTGAGAATTCAAAATTCAAAATTTCAGGATGATAAATAAGAGAGTGACAAATGGGGTGTCATTAATTGCACAGTGCTTTCCTTTTGGTTGAACTATAATTTTCCACAAGATTCTTCAAAACACATGTTTTGCTAACAAAGAAGCTTCTTCAAGTGAAATAATCGTACAATAAATTAAGCAAAACATCGTTTTTTTTTTCAATTTTTCGAAAAATGTATCGTTTGATATCAATTTATATGTTTTGAGATAGACTGGAACTTGCACAAATTTTGAGGTAGGTGAAAGGTTCAGTTGTAAAATTCAAATAGGTAGTTTAAATTAGCTAGTGAGACAATCTGTTTTTCATTTGTATTATGTCTTGATTTGAGCGCACTGGATTTTGTGATAATGATAGATTATAGAAATTTTTAAAAAATTCAATATTTGAAGAGCCCCTATTCATGTCCTGTGAAAAATCCATAATAATCATCGGATTGGAATTTGGTAAATCTTCATAAGCTTATATAACAAAAATATGATTCAATAACGCATCTGTATTCATTATCGAAAACATACTGGCAATACACTTACTTAATATGACAATATTAACAAGAACATTTTGTTTTTTGAATGTATGAAGAATTGACGTTCATCATACAGGACGTGGAAAGAAATTCTGAATTGAGAAAAAACCTAATCACGAATCTGCGATTGAGGTCATAAATATATCTGAGAACATTTTGTTCAGAATATACTAAATTTCAATTTGATGAGAAACGTGTATAATAAAAAAGCAGAAATTGTATTTGATGTGTCAGAAAATCAGTGACCAAAAATTAGGGCACAAGGATGTTAGATCTAACGTTAATTTAGAACCTTTGTGAGTTTTTATTTGATAAAAATGTACCTATCTAACCATTACAAAAAGTTAGATGATGATATGTCATATCATTACTGAAGCGTAATTCTAATTTCCTGTATAACTATCGAGCATAGAATAATAATGTTGTGAATGTTCATCCAGTGCAAAATTTGTAGATGCGATGTTTTTTTGTTAAAGATCTGTTTGAGTATATTATCAGTTGAAATGTTAAAAACCGAATTATTTTTGTTATAATACAGCCATAGGTGTATTGTACTATATGTAACAGAATAAATAAAAAATATACAATGATATATAATTGAGAATGATTTCAATTTTTACGCTTACCCACAAAATATATGGACAACAAAAAAACGAAAATTGATCGAGTTTTATCAAGAGTTCCTTTATTGTAGTAAAAAATGTTACAAAATCCAAATTTCACCTTCAAACTCCTTTTTTCCATTGGCATAAAAGTTTCAGATGTTTATTTAGTGAAAAATATCAAGTTCTACATCATTATGCCAATGCACCAAATTTGAGTGAAATCTCATAAGCTGTTACAAAATAACAAAGTTATGAAGCAACATCGATCAGTAAATCGTAACTTCAGAGCCATCTAGCGCCGAAAGTTAGCAACTTTGTACTGAGGTAAGTTTGCTTGTATCAAATTGATGTGGTCTGAGGAATATGTAGTAGTTTTTATATAGTTATTTATTATACAAGGGAAAAAAGTAGTAGATTTTAGCTCCAGGTTGTGTTGTCTCCCCGCTCGTAGCGGAGGCAGACAAAAAACCGTGAGCTAAAATCTAATATTTTTCCCGTGTATAATACACTATTTTTTTCTGTGACAGAAGAAAGGATGAATCAATATTGAGAAGATATTACATTATTTTATGAAATCTGAAAATCATCGACGTGAAATTTTAAGTTTTTAAACAGTAGGGACACCTGCGTTGTAGGCATCTTTATCATTCTTTTGAAATAATCAAATATCTGATGTCATTTCTGTCAGTCAAATTCTGTGATTTGATTTCAAAAAATTGCGAATTTAGTGGTTGTTTAGTAATATACGTAACCGCGAAGTCGAATGGAAGAAAAAATTACTTGCAGTTCTTTCTCGGAGACGGTATTATTGACTCATTTTTCGGAACTATAGCACAACAAAAGCCATCAACAGTGTATTTATATGTGATATATATCCGGGAAAAAAGTACTCACTTTTTTCCCTCGGGAAAAAAGTAATTCATGAAAAGTGACTTTTCATAACCTGCCAACAGAGAACAGAACTTTGATCATCGATAGAAGATCTCATTTGAAGGATAAAAGTTCCTATGATAATCGATTGCATCAATAATTTTTCTTCTTCATCTGTTACCAGATCTAGTAACCCAACCTAAGATATGTTACCAGATCTAGTAACCCAACCTAAGATCTAGTAACCTAACCTAAGATATGTTACTAGATCTAGTAACCTAACCTAAGATATGTTACTAGATCTAGTAACCTAACCTGAGATATGTTACTAGATCTAGTAACCTAACCTAAGATATGTTACTAGATCTTTCCCACAGGAAAAAAGTAATTTATGAAAAGTGACATTTTATAACCTGCCAACAGAGATGAAATGCCAAACTCTTTTCCCATCACAGAAAAAATACCATTATTCTCCCAAGTCAAAATGAAACTGAAAAATAAAAATGGAACTATATTTATTTTTTAAACTTATACAGTATACACAACAGCACAAATGAAATATTTGAAACCTTGCTAGGTAAATTGAATTACCCACTCACAGAACTGGAAAATTCACTCTTTAACAGTGCACACAAAAATGTCCTTTCAATTATTATTATCAGTTGACTCTTGATTACTACTAAGAGCTTTAGCTTGAGACAAAAATGCCAAATGACCCTTAGGACATCTATTAGCATAATGCCCCTTAGTCCCACACTTGTAACAAGTAACATCTTCCAATCTCTTGGGCATCATCTTATGCAAGAAACTATTATTTGGTCCATTCGGAGTCTCAGATTTCTCATTGCCCTCCTTATCAGCCTGCAGAAACAGAACTTTAGTAGGGTCCACCATCTTGTTACAATGTATAGCCTTGTGCCCGTGCTCTCCACAAAAATGACAAATTATAACAGGTGTCTTCTTCAAATCCTTCATATTCTGATCAGGTGGTGCTGGTAGCTCGAATCTGGGATGCATATATTTGCATTTGGAACCCTCTGGGCAGAACCCAGCCAGGTAATTAGTGCACAACACTCTTCTGACATGTCTGTGCCTACAATGAGGGCCATGCCGGCAGAAACCCCTGTCGTACCAAGGACAGTCCTTTATTTTGCTTTCTGGATCTATGTGCAGAAAAGGACACTCTTTATTGTGACAAGCATTGAATCTGGAGTAAAAGTAGCATTCCGGCATCTTGGTCATGTCGTATTCGTGCAAAAACTCGCAGCCGTCGCCTTTTTTGCATAAGCCTCTGAGCCAGTGCTTGCACACGATAGTTCGATCACCCCGTACATGCCTGAACGGGCATTGGGGGCCTTTGGGACATCCGTTTTGGGTGTTGAAGAACTGGCATACTGCTGCTGTGGACTCTTGAAGGAAAAATCGAGAGATAAAAGAGCGTTTGTGGTGAATTAGTGGATAACTTACTGTCCATTCCAGGGAATGGTAAGGGTAGAGCCCCATATTGCTCCTCTAGGGCTACTTCTATGTCGAATTTCAAGTGGTCCACGTTCGATATGAGGCACTCCATGTCGCTGTTATGAAAAATACAATGGAAAACTAACGAAAATAGTAAGAAAAGTCCTTCAACACAATTTCCGAATTCCGATAGGTTATGATTTATGAAAACAAAAAACAAAATCCTGGATTTGACAACGACATTACGACAACAATATCGACTGTCGACGTCAATGGATAATGATGACAGTCTACAGAGATTCTATGGCCACAGAACTTCAGGTTTTGTGTGCAAACACTGGTGACTTTCACAGAACTCAGGTCTTTGAGTTCTGTGGTGAGATGCTGAACATTCATGAAAGCCAGTGCTGCCAACTCAGCCATTTCATGGCCATTTGTGAACTCATGTAGCTACTAAAAATTGAATCTAGCCGTTTAGCAATTTTTTCTAGCTATTTTTCATACTGAATTTTAAAAAAATATTTTCATATGCATGTTCATTATATTCGCGACCTAACTTTGATCAAATTTAGACCAGTTTGTTATAATGAACTCTATTAATAATATGGTAATTTCAATGGATTTTGTACTCCATTCCATACATTTTATGCCATTGTGATAATTGGGTGCGTTTTTCATTCCAACAATTTGTCATGCGCATGAATCGAAGAAACACAAAAGAAACATTGACGTTGACGTCAACTCATCACGTCATACGTCACTGTCCATTCCAGTGTTGTTCTTGTCATTACTATTGTTAAAGATCTATCACTATTTCATGGAGGTTGTTACGTTTTCACGTTTCGTCATGAATCTAATAGGTACTACTCGAAATTGGATCCAAAATTTGATGTTTCATGACCAAAATATCTTGTTAGGTGCCCAGCGAGAGGATTATGTTCTGCTCTATGAGCCTATGCTCTATATTTATGTCATAGGTTCCGTGATTTTTGCCTCATTCTTGTGAAAAATGGTGCAAATATTTCTAAATCGTGCGATAAGTTTTGACAAGAATGACATTCATAATGTCAAATGTCATGCTTTTTGAGCCCATTACCTTCGAATTCAAATCTGGTACGTTTTGCAAACGAAATCTGGTACGAAAAATTTAGAGCCAGGAACAACACTGGCTCTAGATCACTAGATCTAAGCTACAGACTTAAATTTTCAATGTCCGAATCGTAGTCCAAGGTCAGATGTCTTGCTTTTGCTAGAAAAATTGAAGAAACGGCTGAAGGAATTTTCGCCTGCGGCTCAGATTCATTTTTAGAAATAATTTTGCCTTGTTTCAGCAATCATTTGCTAGCCGTTTTAAAATTGGCTGTTGGCAACACTGATGAAAACATTGAAATATTGAAAACGTCAAAATTGAAAATGCTGGTGAAAAGAAAATAAACAATAATAAAATCGAATTTGGGAAGACCTCTGAGAAACAGAGAAAACCAAATCATTTCCCAATTCATTTACAGTTCATAATGGCAGAGGCTGTCGGTCACCCTGTGAAATCAGATTACAAAGACAAAGGTAAAAAGTTTGCCTATACCATTTCTGACCCATTTTTCCATTAAATATTTTTTACAGTCCAAGAAATGGAATGTGCAGTATGTCTCCAGCGCTGTATCCATCCAGCACAACTACCCTGTGGTCACATTTTCTGCTTTTTGTGTGTCAAGGGCTTCGCTAACCAGAATAAGAAGTGTGCTATGTGCCGCCAGGAAATCCCTAAGGATTTCATAGAACAGCCTCATTTATTAGAAGCCCCCGCCCCTCTAGAAAATACTGAAGGCTTTGATGGTGGCTTCCAATGGTTCTATGAAGGTAGAAATGGTAAGAATCTAAATATTTTGATTGGCTCCTAGGCACAAATTCCACTGGATGAAGGTTGACTCTAATATTTATGGTTTAAGGTTGGTGGAAGTATGATGAGAGGGCTAATGAGGAGATTGAGGAAGCTTACAAACTAGACATTCCAAATTTTGAGCTGATTATTTGTGGGGAACTTTACATTGTTGATTTTGAACATAAATATCAGCACCCTAAAAAAAATCCTTCCAGAAAACGGTCTATAAAACGAGATAAAATTGATAATGTTGTAGTAAAGGGGGTAGCAGGGTTGAGATAGTTTTGTTTAGGATGAGTCCTGGACTCCTGGATCATCTTTCAATGTGTATTTTTTTTTTCTAATTTCAATAAAGGATTTCATATAAGTTATAATTTGTATCAGACTATTACTTCCTGAAATAATCCAATTTCAAAAGTTATAACATTGCAACCAATTTCATATCAAAAGAATAATAAATTAAAAACAATGCAATGATACCTAGGTGGTAGTATCAAGCTTGTCTGAAAAAAACTACATATTATAACTGGCAATGTAAAGAAGAAAATCATCTGAGAACTTTGAAATGAACATCATTTGTTTACATGGATTAGTTTGGATTGTTTTTTTATGTTTCCTTCATCAATGAGTCAATTATTAGAGAATTCAAACAACAAGACATTGTCAACAGAAAACCAAGAATCTAGAAAACTAGTTCATTACCAGATATGTGTATTTTACAGGTTGGTGGCAATATGATGAGAGAACTAGTAAAGACCTTGAAGCTTCTTATAAAAAAGATGAGATAACTTGTGAACTCCTCATTGCTGGTTTCTTGTATATCATAGATTTAGAAAATATGCTTCAAGTCAGAAGAAATGACCCTTCCAGAAGGAGGAGAATAAAAAGGGATTATTATACTATACCAAAAAAAGGTTAAATACAATAATTATAACTAAAAAGTAATGGGAGTTGAAATTTCTTCATTTTTTTAGGTATTGCTGGGTTGCCTATCAAGGAACAAACTGATGAAACAAAAGGAAGGGATGAGGAAGATCAACAACAGGAAATACCTAGAGAAATATTGGTCAATCCACCAGAAACAGCACATTCTGATGGTTCTGATGATGCACTTTCTGGCTTGGAAGAAACTTTGCACAGACTAGACATGCTTAGTTTGAATCACAATCATAACAACCTAAGCTGATATTGTTAGGTATAGGAAGTTGAAAAAATCTCAATTGTAGAAAATCATGAAGGGTGTGGTATTAACTCTATTATGTTCAATATGTATTATATATTATCTAACTTATTTTTCATAATCTATTTCTCTAGTAATATGAAATCTTGTATCATCAGGAATTTAAAAATGCACCTAGCTCAAAGCAGCATGTTTACTTTGTTTTCATTGGTTCACATTTGTGTTTTTTGTGTGCTTATTGGTCATATGAAAACAATTCGCTCAGAAGTGTTCAAGTTGCTCCCGACAGGTGGGGCGACGTGGTATTATTTATGGCGATGGCGGATATCTACAGATTTAAAATGAATCTGGCAACAGTGATTGGTGGCATTTCCAAAACTAACGACTAGGAAAATCGGTGCAAATTCAAATATTTCTTGTATAACCAGGTGGCCGTGGCAGGCTAATTTTCAGTTTTTTCTACTATTTTCTTCAATAAATATTGGTGTTACTCACTGATTTCATCCACAGGCCCCACCAACTACTCTGATTCAACATTGAATTCCAATGTCTCATTCACTATCAGTTTCAGTGCTATAGTTCAATGTTTTTGATTTAACAAACATAAGACAACAGAATAATTGAACTAAGCGCTTGTGATAAACAGATATTCGAATAAAAAACACTTACTTTCAGCAGGAATATGATACAAACGAGAACAACCAACCACACCACTCACGCCACCATTTTCTCATTGAAACAATTGAAAATCGCGGACACATGGAACATATCAAGGCAATCTATTCAGAAGTCAAAAGAGGCGGGTGAAAAAATATGTTGGTTATGGGGACAGATAATAACTTACATGGTGGATGATGAATTAATTTTTGGAATCACCATGCTATTTTGAATTACTACAAAACGCTATTCATAATTCAAATTTCGTCAGGTACAAAATTGATAAATCATATTGAAATAATATTGAAGACATTATTCTTTCTCTATCGTATTTAATTGAATGAAAGCATAAACTGGATTTATGGTTATAAGTAAGATTATAAGTAATATCATTAGGAAACTAGGTATAGGCATCATGTATAGGTAGGTATAGATGTTGTACAGATTTTGATCTTTAATTGGCCAGGCAATACAACTTTATCAGTAGAATAAAAGTTGCACATAGGTATAAATGTAGGTATACTCATGGGATTTCTATAGAATAAATTGAATTTAAATTACCTAGCTTTATGTATTTTTCCACTAGAGCTAACCTTGCATGAAAAAAGATTCAATAAACATTTTTCTAGCTAGGCAAAATTATTACTGCTTTGGCATCATTTGAAAAATAGGAGTCCTGGAAGATTCAAACAATTTTTGTTTTATACATATTTGAATTATGAATTTATATCAAATTAATAAATCTATCCTAATACTCTATGCTAATACAAATTTCTTGATTATTTTACCATACCATGAAATTCAGCAATATACATTTTCATTTCAGATTTGAAACTTCTTCATCTTTCTAAATTTGCTCTTGTTGACTAGCTCACAATTACTTTGTAATAACATAAAATAAGTAGTGAATTATTGGCAAAATTCAGACTGAATGTTGTTTTTGCCACAGAAAAAGACATTTGCTTCATAGACACTGCAAAAAATAAGTGCTAAGGCATATATTGGTGTTTTCTATCATAAACATAAGAGAAATATGTTGAAACATTTCGAGAAAAAAATGTATAGAAATTATTTAAAACAAAAACTATAGTACCCTGATGACCAACTATTACATCATTTTCTTTGAACAAATTACATGAATAGAAGTAAAAATTGTGCTAAATATTTTATTTAGGTGAACATCTCACATAGGTACCTAATTAAGTGTGCTATAACTATAAATTTTTGGTATTTGAACTGAAATTATTCCTCAGTTTTGGTACCTATTGAACAATATTTACAAAAAAAAATATTCTTTCTTTGAAAGTAGAAAAAACGTGGGTGCATGACAGAATTTTATGGCTTATTATCATCTCAACACCTTGTACATACTGTAATATCAACAAAATAATACTGTTTTTCATAAAATAACTAAACCAAGCAGAAAATTTACGGCAATCTATACTTACAAAAGTAAATAACGAAAATATAATACAAACTTTATATAAATATCTTGTACAAAACTGTATAACAAATAATTTCATAGAATTTCAAATCTAGTAGTGACCCAGAAGCTTCCATGGACTTGAAATACAAAAACTATTTCAAACCAAGTCAAAATGGGAACATGCCTACTGAATAATCATCAGTAAGTTCTTTGGCTTCAATGTTTGCATCATTTGGATCACAAATCACCATTGTTTGATACAGTCAAAATTTTTTATTGAATTTTTGGAAAGCCTCTGGGCCACAAACAATCCAATGGCAAAGACTAGTTGAGATTTGTTCAATGTTCTTCATGCAGGTCTCTAGACTGCTCTTTCCACACCCAGTGTAGCATTTTGTTCAGTCTGAAGAACATCCAAGGAAATATTCCCACTCCATTTATCACTTTACCACACATGAATTTTATGTAATCAGTAAGCTTTATTAAGGAAAATTCAATGGAAAATTGAAGGTAATAAACATAAATCTGCATGAGTATATCTTGAGAGCAATATTACATTATTGAAAAGATAAAATATAAATGTATGAAGATTTCAAAATAATCCTTTCATGATGGAATATTTTCTTCAAATGGGTATATTAGTTCTAATTAGAGAATGTTTTGCAAAAGGATATTATATTGTCCATGGGGGATGACCATCATTTATATACAACACGTACATAAACCCATCTTTGCATTTTCCTTTAATAGAATAATAGTAAGGTAAAAAGCTATGTAACCTAAATCTGAAAAATAAAGTGAAGATTTCCTGAATTAAATATGGTAATTTCATCAGCACAATCTCATTCTTCAAAACTGTTTTATCAACACAAAAATAATCTTGTATTTAACATGAGTAATAGATTAGATTGATAAAAATTATGCACTACATGCCTACTTCATACTTATCTTCATCAGATTAATTCAATTAACCACTTACTTTTTCTGTTCATAGAACAAAATGGCAGCTGAATTCGTTGTCAAAACATGCAAAAACACAGCTTTGACTTTCCTTCTCTCAGGCATCAGTAGATGCTTCAGAAAAGAGTCAAGCAATAAGGATGCTATACCATTTCTGCGATACTGCTTGAGTACCCCTAGAGACAAAATGTAGGCTATGTCATAGTCAGACAATGATTTGGCAAGGATCCCCTCATTGTCCTCTATTTGATTGGAGTAGGGTTTGATTTTGGCTACAATCAGCCCTATGATTTGTTGGTTGTAAATGGCCGCTAGGGAATAGAATTTGCTAAAAATGGGAAAGATCTTTACTACAGCAATGTCTCATCAAGATTTTGAGGGATAGTAGGTGAATCATAGTAAGAGTGGAATTTCCACAAATGACTCACATTTGCACAACATTCAATAAGGGACAAAATATAGGACAGGGACAGCTCAAACAACTTTTTGACTCACCTATTAGTTGAGGTAATTTGTTCATACCAATAAAAAGGGTATTCAATAGGAAACCAATCCTGACATAGAGCTCTCACTTCATCTAGGTCTTCTGGACAGAGAAACCTCAGCTGAACGTCAGCTAAAGAGTACAAAGATATGGGTTTCTCGTCCGAGGCGGAACACCCATCTAAACATTTTCCGTTGGGCTGGTACCTGAATCAAAAACGAATTTGGAATATTTGGATTTTGATATTGAAGAAGACGAACAAGTAGGTTATGTCATGTACTCACCAACTAATATCAGCCATAGATGAGGATTTCTAATGCATATTTGGACCTTAAAGTGTTTCTTGTCGCATTATCAAACAGAAGAATTTCGAGGACTGATAATATTTTGTCATAATTGTTTTGATCTTGAGATTATTGAAGTGAAAATTGAAGTGAAATTATTTGTCAAGTCGTGTTGAAACTGTCAACGTCAAAGCTCAAATGTCAAGAAATAATGACAGATTTTACAGTGTTGTCAATTAGTAAACATATTTTACAGCAGCTCCACAGAACTTTGTTCTCATTCCTCAAATGCGTTCAATATTCCAAGATAAACTTAAAAATGAGGCAGATTGCCCTAGATTTCTTCCATTGTTCCATTCTCATAGTATTTATACATTATTTCTGTAGAACGACTTTGTTCATACCGTTTTCAATCTCTACTACATATTGATCTAACGACACCTTTTATGTGGTTGATTCGTTGTCATTATTCACCGGAATAATAATAAATTATAAATTATTCCAGTCACAACTACACAACTTCAACTACCGTTTCAAGTTTTGCAATACAACGAAAACATAACAGTGGAATGAATACCAAATGATTTTAAAAAGCGTGTACGACCACACTATATAGAACTATTAATAATATGTAATAAGTATCAAACGAACACGGAATATGAAGTAGGTGGAATAGGTAATTATAGAAATCCACCTGCATTCTAATTGAATACCTACTATTACAAACTCTTCACATGAATTAACAATCCATAAAAAATGGTGCACGCATACAGGATGGTCTAAATTTTTGAAAACGATTTAATCATTTTGATTGAGAAGACGTATACACAACCCTAGTATATGAGTATCGGCAGCCATTTGAAGAAATACTTATGTGAAAAACTGAATGAATATGTCCGAGTCCTGTTTGGTCTAAATATTTTCGGTTTGGCATTGAGATATAATATAGATGAGTATAGGTACCTACTCGACGTGCTCATATATGATATGAAACATATAGTGTTCTCAATTTTTGTTTTTCGAAAACGAAGATGGATATGGAGAAAACACACGAAATCAGAAAATTGTATATTTATATAGTTGCTTAATCTGAAAAATTTGAAATTACAAAAAAAAATGAACGGCGTACTTTTTTCTCAATATCATCAAGTTTGAGACGAATGGGCGAGATGATTTTTGGATATTGTTTAAAAAAATCATTGTTTTTCATGCTCATGATATAATATTATACAGTTGCTTAAAATTTTTGTTTTTCGACAACGGAGATGGATATATTATATATGAAGAAAACTCATGAAATCAAAACGTTGTATATTTATAGGTGCTCAATCTAAAAAAAATAAAAATAACAAAAGAATGAGTGTCATTTTTTTTCGCCCTGGGCCTAAAAATTTCGATCTATTCAGGGCTAAATAAGGACCTTATTAGATCAAATAACTGTTCAAGTATATTTATGATATTTCATATCATCCGTTTTTGTAAACTATTCAACGCCCTATATCTCAGAAACTTACGAACATATTATGTGCATTGAAACTTTCTTTCTCAAAACGACTTCTGTGGGTGATCTGAAATTTCGTACCTACCGTAGTTAGGAAACACCCTGTAGATATTTTAACACTCCTGCATTACTTCTCGAGCCGCACACTTCCCACATCACAAATAATAATATGGTTCACTGCCGAACAACGTACTTCTCACGATTTGGTACCCCGGTACCACTCCGGGGTCACAGAATATTCAACATTTGAAAGGGAAACTCTCGAAAAATATCAAGACGAAAAAAAAAAAGAAAAGATTACGGAGGTGCTGAAATTTTCTATATTGTGTATTCATCACCACACTTTCATTATGGTATTTCCTACTTTTTCTAGTTTGAGTATCCATAAATGCGTATTTATTTTTTTCAGATATTCAGACTATACAAAAAAAGCGTGTTTTTTAGTTTTTTCTATTTTTCAACACCCTTTTATTAGCGTCACCTGTATGTGTGTACAAATTTGACCGACTTTAAACGGACCGATTGATTTGAAATTTGGCAGGTGTATGTATGTACATATAGTTCGGGTGATATTTTTGTTTGACAAAAAACAAAATTGCGGCTCCAAAATGGCGGACGAGTTTTGTTATTATGATCCGACTCTATTCAAAACTGGCATCTGGGATTTTTCGGGGTCAAAAATTATGATTCTTGCGTCAAAGTTGGTAAATTCAAGATGGCGGATCCAATATGGTGGACGAATTTTGTAATTATGATCCGATTTCACTCAAAAATTTGTGTTTTTTCGTAGAAATTGGAAAATTCAAGATGACAGATCAAGTATGGTATCTGGGGGTGAACGAGGTCAGAGATTATGATTCTTTCGTCAAATTTAGGTACTCACAAAATATATAAGAACACTAAAAAACACGCTTTTGTACTAAGCCGAACTAGAGAATAGAAAATTGATATAGTAGTTCGAAAAATTGAAGAAACACCCCATTTTATAGATAACCAAACTGAAAAAAAGTAGGAAATGAAATAATAAAAGTGTGTTGATAAATACACAACATAGAATGTACTGATTACGGAGATGCAAATATTTTCTATGTTGTGTATTTATCAACACACTTCAATTATTTTATTGTCTACTTCGTTTTTGTTTGGCCATCTATAAATATATATAATATCTGTTTCTTGAGTTTTTTAAACTACTATTTATTCTAACTACCCCCCGCAGTGCGAAAGTTAGTAATTTGTGCGCCATTTTGAAGTGGGCCAAAATCACCGTTTTTCTGGATGTAACTATAGGTCGCGTGCAAGAACTGTCAGATGACCGACCCTGGAGGCAAAACATATTTGTTTACAAGTGATCGAAATAGTTTTCCACAATTATTTTGGCATATGAATCGTATTTTTCCGCTATTCATCAATTCGCTAATGCCATCACATTGTGCTGTTGTAAAATGCACAAAAACTGCAGCGGAAGATGAAGAAATTCGGATGGTACATTATGATTCAAAAGTAAGTACCTACTATAGTCACTCACATAGTTTACATTTTTGAAATTTGGTTATTTCTCTGATTTCTCATCGGAATTACTTCTGCAATAGGATCAGCTAATAGAAATATACCTGAAATTTCTAGAATAATGCAAGAAGATTGGATTCATGCAATCAATCGGTATAGGACTGGTCTGACATGCTGACGATCGTGTGTGTTGTAGACATTTTCAATCTATTAGCAGCATTAGCTTGTATTGCAGAAGTGGCAGAAGGCAGAAGGAATTTTAATAAGGAATGACAACATTTCATAATGCTAACTATGTGAGATTACTATTTACCTGAAAAATCATATTCCCTAGTCTCTTGCTGCATTTTTTGTGCATTGTACAATAGCACAATGCGGAGGCATGCTTGAATTAATGAATAACGCAAGAAACACGATTCGTATGCCAAAATATTGTGAAAAACTATTTCAACCTTTTGATTCCTCTGTAACCAAATGAAAAAGTGAGGTTGTGTTTCAATAATTCACAGAAGAATGAGGTTGTGTTTCAATATTTTGCCTCCAGGGTCGGTCTTCGTGCACGCGACCTATTCATAAGAGTACTCAGTGTGAGACACTGCCGTGTTTCTGAATATAAAAAAGCATTGTAGCGTTATTTTAAGGAATAAAAACGACCATTTCAAATTTTGGTGAAGGCACATCATTCACCATTTTATTCGAAAAAATAAATTCGCCCATCCTGAAGATCCTGATGCGCTATTGTCCTCGGTCCTTAATAAGTGTGCGAAGTTTCAATTCAATTCACCATTTTGAAGTGGGTCAAAATCACAGTCTTTCTTGATGTAACTATTCATAGGAGTACTCAGTGTAAGACACTGTCGTGTTTTTGAATATTAAAAAGCATTGTGGCGTTATTTTAAGGAATAAAAACGAGCATTTGAAATTTTGGTGGCGCCACATTATTCACCATTTTATTCGAGAAACTAAAAACGCTCATCCTGAAGATTCTGATCAGGAACAAAAGTGCGAATTTTCAATTAAATTCGACGTTCTGTAGTAGGTCAAAATCACGTTAGAAGAATCATCGCTACATACAAATATACAAACTTTGTTACGGTTTCATTTTGCAATATCCTCAGTGAAGCAACCCAAGCACTGAATTAGAGGATGAATCGGTTACAAATCAGCTGGCCACAAAGTATTTATTGATATATGCATCACACTTGGTAGCTCAATATCCCATTCCTGCGGCCGGGGTAGGTGATGCCTGAAACAGAAATTCAGAAAAGATCAAGTAGGTACCTATATCAGAACCAGATAGTTGGTTCATAAAGAAATACTCACTCAGTTTATAGTATAGTCAGGCCTTTCCTTGGTTCGAGTTCCCTGAAATCGTTTGGTCTCACCTGCAAAATAGTTAAAGATATTTATCTATTGGATAATATTGCAATACTATAAAACCCACCTTGCATGGAGTTATAAACAATAATAGTTCGGTCAGCTAGCTTTTCTGTGGAGGTTAAAATGAGCAGTTTGATTGGATACATCTTCTTTTTCTGGCTCCCATAGAGCCAAATTCTTAACCTAAACACAAATGGAGCCAAGTGTGTACCTTGACATTTTGGCGGGATTTTGGGGAGATATTGACATCTGACCGAATGAGGCGTGAGATTTTTCATATAACCTGTGCAGGTATAGAAAACGTGCTTTCGCATTTTTGCGGATTTTTCTCGTGTAATCGAATTATTTGACGAAGTCAAAGTAGTCAAAGGATGGTCCACTGACTACTCAACTATGTTGGATGAAGACTTCTGCTAAATAAGATTGATTATCAGATTCCATTATTTCAACTCACCGTAGTTGCTACTCTTGGCCACCTGAAATCGAGGTATGCTCATGTCTGATCAATTTACAGCCATTTACAGCTCAACTCGCGATAGTCCTTGGGATTCAATGATAGTATATATATGGTGGTATTGTAATTTGTAGGGCCAACATAGATTTCGAGTTTACTTGGACTCGACCAGTTCATAGAGCCTGTTTAACCAGCTTGGCTTCACTAAAATTGTTCTAAAATTGTTCTATCCGTCATTCG